GCATACAAGATACTCTGTCACATAAATCTAGTTACCACTCAAGGTAAAGTATAGTGAGAAGACTCACTTGGCAAGCAAAAAGCAGTTATCCTTACTCTTGAATCTCGAACTCGCCACCGCCTAACACATAAGACAATATCTCTAATTAACACTCGTGATCTCAAATCTAATTAAACCGACGATTACTCTTTCCCTCTCTAATCAGGAAGTGGGTAAAAGACCATTTTACCCCTCCGAGGTCCCCATTACTTATATTGACCAAAACCCCAAAGTCAATAGAAGTCAAATCAAGTCAACAGTCCACACTTGACCCTACTCGTCGAGTGCATCCTTGCGATTCGTCGAATCCCCTCGTATTATCAGAACTCTACCCGGGTCTCACTCAGCTTTCCAAGTTGACCCCTAACTCGGTGAGCCAACATTGGGTTACGGCTGCTCGGTCAGACCCGTCATGACTCGTCGAGTCACCTCATGGACTCGGCGAGTTGGCTCTTACAGATTGCTCATTCTACCATCTGAGGTCAGATTTGCAACCCAAACTCATAGATCTAACCTCCCACCACCCAATAGTCACGTAAAGGTCTGAACTTGAGGCTCATGCATGGCATATTTTGCTCAATACACCATTTAGACTCCATTGAAGCTCCATAGCTTCAAAGCTCCCAAACAACTCTTTCATGGCTGCCTACTTTCTGGTTCCCTGGACCTCACAAGGTCCAAATCTACACATGACTTGAAAAAGGGTTTGGATGCACCTATAACCCTATCTAAATGGTGATCCAATCCCTAACATAATCAACCAAGGAAATCCATACAAAACAAAGAAGGGAAGAGCTCATACTAGATTTGGAGCTTGCAATGAAGATGAAACTGATCCTCTAACTCTCCTCTGAGATCCTTGCAACACCCTTGCTCCTTCTTTCCAAGAATCAACCTCCAATAAGCCATTTTTCTTCTCTAGATCACCAATCACTCTAGGGTTTCTCTCAAGGAACGAAGACTATGGTGGGGAGGGGCCAAGGAGGCTATAAGTACCTTTAAAGAGGTCCCAAATCCCGGAATTTAGGGTTTCTCTGCACAACACCTACTCGGCGAGTCCCTCCTTGGACTCGTCGAGTCCACCCATTAAACCCGCGAGAAAACCCCGACTTGACTCGGCAAGTTGGAATCTCAACTCGTCGAGTCTCTCCTCTAATCACAAAATTAACTTGCACAATAAAAACCCTGAAAATCCGGATGTTACAATTCTCCCCCACTTGAATTAGATTTCGCCCTCGAAATCATTTCTCAACTACACATAGATTGAAATCATCACCCGAAATGCACCACCGAAAGGATCTCATACTACACTGATATCTTTCTCTATGGACACCTAAAACCACACCGAAACTTCCAAGACCAGAATTTAACTAACTCTTTCATCGCTAAAATACTCCTTCCCAACATCCGGAAACTCTGGTGGCCTGACCCGCCGCCAGACCGCCCACTCGAGCGATCAACAGATATTCGCTCCTCGGATATCAAACCCTGATTATTCATTGGGTCTCCGATTCCCATAAGTCCAAATCCAACAACCGGCTATTACCTGCCCAAACCGATCATGCTAAATCATCTGAATCACGCCCCAAGAACGAAAGGGGCACACCCACTAAACTGCTATCAGCACCCATCCGAAAAGAACCCCTAACACTTTACCCTCAGAACACAAAAGAATAACCATGCTCGTTTAGAAGTGTCCTTAGACATCACACTCATAAGCCTCAACTTCAATTCCCATATCCTTGTTGACACCACACGAGGTCTGACCTCAACCCAACCGTTGAACCTCTATGGTTACCCATAACATGATCCAAAATGTCTCACTGAATTCCTTCATATATCAACTCTCTCAGCCTAGTGACACACAAGTCACAAAGTTCTCTTTACTCTAAACGGATACTATACTCTCAACTAGAATCGTCTCATGTATCTCGTGATATTTCCCGTGCCCACTAACTGACCCTACTCAGGTCTAAGATATTGGATGACAATGATAACCCCCCCCCCTTTTAGCACGGAATCCATCTCTAAATCCGGAACTCGTACCGCCTACCTGATGCATTGCCAGAGCCAAACTCAACTTGAGAGTTTGGTCTGCCCCAAAGTTAGAATTACTCATTCCAATGAAACACTCATCTCATAACTCATGACTTGCAACCTGCACGTAAACCACCTCTCTAATTCCCTTTGGTTGCGACAACCACCACTCAAATAGGAATATAGCGATCCCCAACAATTTGAAACCTCAGCCTCGCCCCTATCTCGACCGCCAGGCTCCCACAACTCAACCATTAGGGCTACCCAAGCCTAAACTCTTCTACTCGCTCTGATCAAAGAGTACTTCCTCATAACTACCTCTTGCGGACTAGTGAGTACTACGGCTCCCCGCAGCATCACGACACCCTCTGACTAGTGAGTGCTATGGCTCCCCGCATCATCACAACAACCTCCCTCTGACTAGTGAGTGTTATGGCTCCCCGCAGCATCACAACACCCTCTGACTAGTGAATACTACGGCTCCCCGCAACATCACAACACCCTCAGACTAGTGAGTACTACGGCTCCCCGCAGCATCACGACACCACGTCCACTAACTCATGATCCATGGACTAACATAGATAGATGTCTACGCTCATTCAAATCATGCATCCTCATTTCTGATAACAACCTCCATAACCAAAACACCTTTCCCGCTGCAACCTTCATTCCTAAATAATCTCCCTTGATGTCAAAACCCAAGGAGCTCCCACTGGAATCATAGATACTCGGTACACTACTTACATACACAACCCAAGAAAATTAATTCGGCAATCAGGGCATTATTCTCGGATTCCTTGGAACACTATCACAAAACATCACAATGTCCTGCCTCAACCACTTATCTCCTACCCCCAGTATCATACAGATAGAACAATACACTCCCTCCGAATCTTGTAATTAATCCTTCGTTTCCTCAATGCACAACTTCGGTGTATCCAAACACTCAATTGGAATACGGAGAAATCGCTAACGCTTCAGAATACGTTGACGACCATCCGAAATTCTTCCTTTACTGCTCAACCCATGCTAGAATACACATACCGACCTGGGAGTTGGCTGCCCAATCATCTCCTATCTACCCCAAAAGGGCATATAACAATCCATTCATCGAACCATAAGTCCTCAATTGCCAACACCCTCCTTACGAGCCTACCACCTTGAACATCCCTAACCACCACCAAGTTCCTAACCAATGACCACCTGCCGTGGAGGCACTCTCCCTTTCTCAAAACGTACCTCATGCAATATCTCGCTCTGCACCTCGCCTCGACCACCAATAACCTTGGTCTCATGAATCCGAACCGCGGGTCTCTATATCCAGATCTCCAACCGCTCTTGAACAATTCTATGGTCCCCTCAATAAAATACCCGGTTCTCCCCCACTTAGGGTTCGAACCATCACCAATTGACGCACTAACAATCTATCCCACAGACTGTTTCCACCAGTAACATCGCACCTATTCTTGGAAGGTGCTACACAATGCCCGATGATTTCCCCACATAGAAATCAAGCAACCCCAATTACCCTGAATCTCCGATGAAATCCTTAGGAACTTCTCATCACGACTACCTCTAGTCCTTCCAAAATCTCATACTATCCTACTACCCAAAATTTCCACTGTCCAGTAATAACCCTGACTATTATACTGAAAATATTGAATCATCATACTCTTCATTCTCGACTTCTCAACCAACGTTCCAACGTGTGAATTATCACAAGAGCAAGGACTCCATTCCCATACCCAATACCTATCCTAGATAAAAGAGCCACCGCCCCGAGATACTCTTTTGGCACTACTAGAAAAAACAGTCTTTTACAACGTGCAATGTGTGTCGTAAAATGCTCAGACGATGCGAAAATGCATGTCAAGGAAGGCCCTGTCATAACTAGAGACGACACGCTTTTGCGCGTCGTGTATAGATGACGCGCATTTATGACACGCATTTATGAAGCGCAATGTGATCATGGAAGCCCCTGTCATAAGGGAATACGACACGCATTTGCGTGTCGTAACCTTACGACGCGCATGTTTATGACACGCAATGTGTATCAAGAAAGCCCATGTTATAAATGTAGATGACACGCATTTGCGTGTCATAAATTTCAGTAACCATTTACGATATGCATTTACGACGCGTCTTTACGATACTAATTTACACATAGTACAAAATATTTAAACACATATATACCACAACAATAAATTTCATCCAATAACATCATGTCAAAAGGTTATAATACATTGATATTAAGGGGATCTAATTGTACATCGTTATTAAGAGATTTTCCCTAACTATATAACCTAATACTACATTAGATATCAAGGGACACCTTCTACAAAGTAATGCTATACAAACTAAAAAGATATACACAAAGGTGATAAACATCAAATTCCAACTAAGTAGAGTTGCATGTTGCCTTTCATAATTCTTTAAGACTAATGAACCATGCTCTGATAATTCTTGTGACCTGATCAAATAAAAGTCAAAAAAATTAATATGATAATATAGTTAATAGAAGAATCATTACAATCGAATACTTGATAAATACATAAAGAATTAGATTAAAAAATGTCCAAAACACCCTTGCAAAAGTAAGAATTTTATGAGTCCCTTATAAAGAATTAGATTAAAAAATGCAATATAAAGTTTTCAAGAATCACCAGTATAAATCCTCCTCTAACCAAATCCACCATAGCTCTCTCTCGAACTCCAGTTGCATGAAAAACCAAGGGTAAATTCTCTCTAAGCTCCTCTGTCTCCTTTTGGGCTCTTTCTAGATTCTCTCTAAGGTTGAAGGGTAATATTTTCAATTTCTTTTTGTTTATTAAAGCATATGATATTTAAAGATCAAGATTCGTACCTTGGCAAGGTTTTAGTAGGTATCATCATACCGCTTCCATCTAGAAAAGGTTGAAACCATCCTAGATGCCACTTAGATCAAGACAGGGGTAAAATGGTAATTTCAACCAACCCTAGAAGATTTGTATTGTAAAAGTGTTAGATACAAGAATGATGCAATTGCAACATCTTGCATCCAGCCTTATTGGTGTTTTAAAAATCTGATTTTGGTCCGACTCAAATGAAGTAAGATAAAGAAGGGCAATTAAGTCCTTTTTACCTGAGGGTTCAGTTTGTCAAGTTGTAGCACAAGGTCTCCCAAGAACTTGTAGCCTGAGCCATCTTTAACATGGAAGTTAACAGGTGATGCACAAAATCCTCTAATCAGTGAATGCACCTGTCCAAAATCAAAGTTCAAGAAAATACTTAATATATAATTAATATATCAAATATGATCACAAAAGTTATAATCAAAACAGTGATTCAGTTTTAACTAAGTTACAATTTTAGTATTTCTTATTGTAGCCTTAATTTGGTTTTAAATTTCTAATCATCTTTTATTATGAAACTTTTTGTTTATAATTACATCATGTATAAAGTAAATTTGATCAAACATATTGTTTCAAAATATAAATATCCACATAAAAAATCATTGCATTCCTACACGCCAACCAGCAGGATCATAGAATGCAATAACGCATTCCATTACCATGTCCATTCCATTCCTTCTATCATTCCATTTCATCCAACTAAACACACTATTAGTATGCTTTGACTTCTAAACCATTTGACCCATTTCTCTTTTTGTCTTTTTTTTTAATTCTACCTAATTGGCCCATTATCATTCATATATAAACTCAAGTCAACTCAATAAGACTAAAGTTGTGACCTTGTTGGGATTCCTTAGAATTGATCTGTCATATTTGTATTCATTCAACACAAGCTCACTCATTTCTTCATCTTCAAGAGATGTAAGATACCCTTTTTTTTCTAAAAAAAAAAAGTCAAAATCATAAACATCAACACTCACCAATATATAAAAAAAGTATACTTAAAGAGCAATATATATATATATATATATATATATATATATATATATATATATATATATATATATATATATATATATATATACCAAGAGCAGTGTTCTTAAGAGCATGTCTTGCCATATTAACATGATCAAACTCATACTTCTCTGAGCTCCTATTTTCTTTCACCTATCAATGTCAAACATGTCAAACATTAATTCACAAAATGTTCATACGTTGGGTGGGGTGGGCAGGAGGAACATCAGGAACATCTTCAGATAGAATACTCGAGATCTAGTATTCTATTGAATTGGGAATTTCACATACATGTCACCAGGGCTAATTGTGATACAATCCCTTAGTGCACATGGAGATACCAAAGAAGCATCTATGCAGAAGGCAGATGAGAGTGAAGGTTATGTCTTTCCATGAGAAACCACACATCCCAAGGCAATGTATCCTTTTGGTGCAGGAAACCGTCATTTTCCTGGATATCATCCTCAGGAACTTTAATATATCCTCCTCAACTGCTAAAAATAGCCGTAATGTGTTGAAAGAAAAATTCATGAATATATCTGAAACTGCAACATGGATATTTGTTTTCCCAGAAGCATTTGAGAACTTGACAGAAGTATCAAAAGGCTTTAAAATTCTGATCCCATTGCTCTCCATAGTTAAACCAAGAGCATTTGCACTCATTTCTATTGTATCGCCCTTCAGCATGAGCCTATAATAGACAGCAGATAAACATGAAAGATTTTTTTAATAAGTTGATCGTTTAAAAAGTAAATCATAAATCTAGAACAAAACCCTCAACCTCCAGCTTATAAACATGAAACAAAACAAAAAGTTATTCATAAAAGAATCATTCTATCTCTCTCTCTCTCTCTCTCAAAATATGAACATAAGAATTAACCTACTCCCTTCAGATTTCTCTCAGAATGTACTGGCCTCTTTCCTTCAGTTTAGAATATATATTGGATATAGGTTTCCAGGGAGCCAGGTTTTGGACCCATCCACCACATACAAACTAACACACCCAAAATGGAATGAAAAAATAGTGTGCTTACTCATTTTATTAAACAAAAAGTGAAGACTTAATAAAAAATAGAAGATTTATGTTTAACCCTATTTAGAAGACACACATTCATTTAGGGATAGAAAATAATAAGAAAAATGATAAATAGACTATTGCAGAATCATGTTTGAGTTTCAGTACCTATATATATGCCAGAGAAAGGAACAAACTTATAAGCATTTTTCCAATACCCAAATTATCTAGTAACATGCAACACTAGCTTTAGTATGAAAAGGATCAAATACAAATTTAAGGCACCCATGAAATTTAATCAACAAAATTCAAGAAGGCAAGAAAGAGAGACCTCCATGGTTGCTCTGTTTTATTTCCAATTCCATCCATATTGTATGCAACAGCAGGAACATCTTCAGAGCTTGCACTCACTGGAGGGAAGCTTCTCATGCTGATGAAAAAATATAAATTGTTAAAAATGGTGAAAGTTACTCATCAAATACAATCTTTAAAACAAAAAAAAAGGTAAGACTTTTTTTATCTTTTATTAGAATTAGGTATAAAGTAGTTGGTGAAAACTGAAAAAAATGTAGGTGAAGTAATGTCTTCAACAATTGCATTCTTGAATTCTTCGAGAGTCCATGAAGAGGACATGTACACCTTTCTCATTTTCACTGCTGCTTTTATTCAATCCCTATCCTCAATATACTATTTTATATAATAAATATCAGCAAACAATTCAAAAATATAAAATATTATATACTCAAAATTCAATAGGGTTTAAAAAACTACCTATTTCTCTAGCTCATCTAATACATCTTCAAAAAGATCTTTTGGGGAGGCACCTGAACTGTTTGATGCCACTGCTAAATATGCAGGTAATTCTTTTACCTATAACCCAAAACAAAATAACAAATGTAACACAAAATTAATCCTAATGTCTTTTTTTATAAAAAAAATATAAAAATTTTATTGACTTGCTTTATTGCAATATTCACGCCAGTGAGATTTTGAAGTCAGCATTCCATAAGCAACATGCCCTTCCATCAGCTTAGGGAAGAATGGAATTGCTAATTCCAGGCTATTGTACAGGAGGGCTTGGAGCCATTGAATTCAGTTGAGATGGAGGAATGGAATTGACAACTCCGGGCTGCTATGTAGGAGGAGGATGTTGAGGTGGAGTCATTGGAGGGATGGAATTGACGATTCCGGGCTGCTGTATAGGAGGGCTTGGAGTGGCCATTGAATTCAGTTGAGATGGAGGAATGGAAATGACGTTTCCGGGCTGATGTGTAGGCGAGCGTTGAGGTGGAGCCATTGGATTGGGTTGAGATGGAGGGAGAGCTGAAAGGTTTATCTGGTGTAAATTCTCTTTTGCTTTGTGCAACAGTTACAAGTTTAAGGGCATTATAGAATTCTTGACGCCAAGGAAGCCAGTTCTATTCTCATCAGCATGCTGCCATATCTGTAATTTTATGTAATATATTAATTAATATAATAATTATACAAATATTCAAAAAAATTGATGAGAACTACGTTGACCCATATGAAAATAGAGTAAATTACAAATATGGTCCCTGTATTTTCGGATTTTTACCGTGTTTAGTCCAGAATTGAAGTCTTTTTCAAATTTGGTCCTTTTCAAGGTTTCAGGGACCAAAATCAAAATGAGAACTTAAAATAAGAATCAAAACTGGAAAAGATCTTATTTTCGAAGTAATATATATATATATATATATATATATATATATATATATATATATATATATATATATATTATATATATATATATATATATATATATATATATATATATATATATATATATATGAGAAAGCACAACGACCATTTTTGTAATTTGCTCCAAAACTACTTGTTTGGTTCTTAGCCGGTTTAAATCTATTACCCAAGCCACCTATTTTTCCACATGTAAGTTAATACTAAACTCAACTTTTTGTACCTAGTGCTAGAAGTCACTACGTGGAATTAGTTTCCTATGTTTTTTAAATGCAAAAACATGTTGTGTTGGATTGTCTAGTAATATGATAGGAGAATAAATGATTTTCCACAATGAAATGTAAATAAGTGAATTTTGGGCATAACATCCCATTAAAGTTGCAACAATTTCCATTTCGGGGTATATGTATTATGTATATCATATATATCAAAATATATCATTTACTTTTGGAAATTTTCAAGATAAAGGTACCTAGTTGATAATTGTCACCTACAACTTAGGTGCTGTTTGATTACTGAAGCAAAAATTCATGAAGTCTGCGGACCACCTTTGCAACCCTCTGCAGTAGAAGAGGTGGACCAAACGGCTGCAGCTATAATTAAAAGCATGTTTGTTTTTTTAACAGCTGCATACTGCTGCAGATATTAAAAAATTAAAATAAACTAATTTTATAAACCGAAAATAGCTTTTTAATACGTAAAATTTAATAATGTATAACATTTCGGTAAAAATTAATGATATTTCAGTAAAAAAGAATGATATTTCAACAAAAAATAAAGATATTTTCAGTAAAAAAAAATAATGATATTTCATCAAGAAATTATTATTATTGAATATAAAAAAATGAAAAAAAAATTCAATAAGAATAAATGAAAAAAAGGGAAAAAAAATATGAAATAAAATTTTAATAACATATAATCAAAATTTCAGCAATAAAATAAGAAGAAGAAGAGGTTGGAAGAGGCAGTACAAGTGTTGCGCCAAACAGAGCACACGCAGAGGTTTTTGACTTAGACGGCTTCTAAAAAACAAACAGCTGCGAGATTAAAAGTGCTGCGCGTGTGCTGCGCCGCGCAGTAGTAAGAGGTTTGAAGAGGTTTTTTCCAAAAAACAAACAGCACCTTAATGACAGAATTAGTAATGACCAAATATATGTTGCATTATTGAAGGTGTTTTAGACATCTATGAGACAGACATCTTTAATCTACCTGAACTACTTTAAAGGTATTACAGACTTTAACTTACAATAGGAATATGGGAACTACTTTACAGATCTTGTTATTCACAATAGTTTTGGGAGAATTGAAGGAAATGTTCCAATGTCTTATAACGGTTTATAGATCAAGATATGATACAAATTCTCCTAGATATTCAACCATTTGTCAGACTGATCCTCGACTATAGAACGGATGAAGTATAAAATATTAAATAGATTAGTCAGTGACTACAGAAAGTGAATATCTAAAACCTCTTACGAATTCACTGTTCAGTATATGCCTGAAAAATACCAGCTTCATCTCACCAAATCCACACCGCACATCATTATTTTGAATCCATACAAAACTAATTGCAGAGTTGGTAGTAATTTTCTGCAATGGTAAAAAAAATGCTAAATCTGTTAAATGGCATATTATTTTTATAATTATCCTTTTTTGAATATAAGTTGAGGAATTTAAACTAAATTCACTTGTAGCTATTTAGGATCTAAACACTTCCCTGTAAACTTAGAATCAACTATTGATTTTTTGTTGTTGTACTAAGCATTTGGGTTTTGGGATTTCCACAGCAAATCCAATCATCCTTGTTTTAGGACTGTGCAATAATATTTATTGCTTTTTCTCCTGAAATGAAAATATTATACAAAATCAAAAACTATTTACAAGAATAAAAGCTCAAAGCTTAGAAACTTGAATAAAAAGAAATGATGTTGGTGTCACAACTCTTGCTACTGAATACCCCTGAGAGATGGCCTAATACCAACACCAATACCAACAAGGGGGGCTGAAGAATCTGGAAATGCTTTACCAAACAAACTAAGTGACACTACACCCACCATATTCAAATCGATCAAATAAAAAGGAGTGAAAATCTGTAAATGCTTTACCAAAAACTTAAATGTGGAGAGAGGATCGTCGATACTTATCTTGGTGGTGGATTGTGGAACGGCCGCCGATGTCATACAAATCAGCGACTCCTATTGCTTTCTCCCAAGTGAGTCTCCAACAAACATCACCGCCGTCGACTTGTGAACTATCGCCGCCCTCAACTAAATAAGGTATCAGAGGAAAATAAGGTATCATAGGCAAGGGATTCGACCAAAATAGGTTCGGGACACAGCCTCCGAGACGGTGACGCTGATGAGTCGCAATCTTCGGTGAAGGAGGTCGCCGGCCGGTGAGATGAAGTGTTGCAGTCATACTCTAGCTCGATCGTCTAGAGAGTGTTAACGTGAAAAAACCCTAGTTATCGTGTGGGGGGGGGGGGGATTTAGGGTTGTTTTGGGTTGCTAAGGGTTTGGTTAGAGGTATCAGTATAGGGAACAAGGGAGATACTGAGAGAGGATCGATCGGAAAGGGGTTTTAATTTTTTTGGACAAAATGTTTCTTACCAATTAACAAACCCTAAATGATTCTTAACAATTATATTGTCAGAAAGTAGGGTAGATGGGAAGAGGAGAGGATGAGTAACACTATATCTACGGTTGTAAGCATGAGGAGTCGTGGAACCCCAATTGCTAGCTCTGCGAAGTTCATCTTTGGGAGCACGTACAAAAGCCCTAGTTGTTGGTCTCCATTTTGTGATCTTTAGGAATGAATGTAAGTTTTTAAGAAAAAAATTATAGAACAACTATAGGAGTTGTAGAGGTTTATAGCAGAGATGGTATCGTGATTAGGGTTTGCAGAGAGAAGGGAAGAAGAGAACGAAGGGAGATATTGAAGCAGGGGTATTTAAAATTTTTAGAATTTTAAGAGGATTTCCTCAAGAATGCACGTTTTGAGTAAAAAACATAAAGTGACATTCACAGAGGACGCACATTTCAGATAAACTGCCCTCCGTGTTTTTAAATTTTTTTACATGAGACACTAATTTAAGGGCACGCGATAATGCGTGACCTCAATCGGTAATTTTTTTGAAGATATGACACTTTTTTAATGTCACTCTCTTTTGCGTAACGTAAATCAATGAGTGTCGTGGTTTGCACGTCGTAAAAGGGTCTTTTTCTTGTAGTGTGGATTACCCAGCTAACATATGCCCTACTATACTCAATAACTCAAATAGGGTGCATCCTAGTCCTTGACCATCTCAATCCCAACTAACAACCTGCTCATGATGTATCATTACTTCGCGGCAAACATGCTGCCAGATGTTCTAGTGGAAGATCGCCATCCATGTCAACCCGCAGGGTTTACTCATCACCCCAAAACCGAAGTCTCACACCTCTTATGTTTCCCACAAGAAACGGTAATAGCACCACTAAGGTCACAGAAGGTGACATCTCTTCTATCGGTTGATTGCTCATCTCAGGCTGTAATTCTCCATGAAAGCCATCTCTACTCATCCTTGAGTCTTGCGACTCTATCTGACATCTCACCAAATATGTCTTGGAATTTATCTTGACCTCCCTCTCAAGGGATGCTTCTTTGAACTCATTCATCATGGCCTTCTGGCCTCGTACTCTATCATATCTGATCTCTACCAATTCAATCATGAT